AGCTATATGTAGGTAATGAAAAAAGTTTAAACTTCTGAACCGCTCATATAGTCTAATATTTAATTTTTTTGGCATTAATGATAAATACGATGTAAAAGAGACCATTTGAATAAGGGAGTGATAATTAGTTGTAACATTTTAAACACAAACACCTTCAATTTACAGAAACACGGAAGTAATTTTATTTCTTTTGACCAATGAAGTAATGTTTCTTTTTTCTAAATGAGAATATCCAAAGAATTATGTCCTTCCTACAGATCTGTTATGCATATAAATAAGAAAATATAACTAATAGGTTGATGTTAGTCTCGGCTCAAACAGCAGGACGTCGCGGACAAACATCGGTTTCACCAAAATTGCCTTCCAGAAGTCGACTTTGGTCCATTTTGTTTGAACACCTCCATCAAATTAACTCAAATAGGATCCAAAACTTCCATCATGATACTCTGAACTTTGTCGTGACTCCACTGTTGTCGATCCCTTTAACTTTTATTTCTGAAATTATATTGAAGGTTTATCTTGAGCGGTTTTGTTTACGAGGCGATGTTGCTAAAGAACACCGAAAATATCACATTTAAAATTTTCAGAAGAAATGTGGGAAATATTCATCGATCTCTCATTAAATATATCACAAAGGAAGAGGTACTTTCTTCAATGAAGTGAAAGTCCGAGAAATTGCGCGAAAAAGGTTTTTCATGGCCTATTAAATGCCGGCGAGTCCTCCTTATGTACCGTGATATTACAAGGAGTTCTTCTCCTCCGCAGGATCCTAGCTCATTGCAGTCAATCCCACGGCATGGCTCCAGGTTTTCCTTGCAGTATGCTGTTGCCCCCACTAAAATCATGGGTGCTGAGGGGCACTGTGCGAATAAAGCTTCTTGCCTGAGAAGGCAAACGTAGTAACCCGGCCTTGGCTAGAACCCAGGTCTCTCATTCTGGAGTTTAACGCGCGATAAACACTTGGCCACCGCGGCTTACGACCGCAAAGCAATTTATCATCCATCGCGGGCTCAAAGGCTGCAAATTACTCAAAAAAATTCTTATTAAAAAATGTCAATTTTTTTCGCACAATGGTTCACAGCTAATGGTCAACGCTCCAGTACAGTATTCAGCTTGAATATGCCTTTTTAACATCAAAACTACCGTTAAACTACAATGGTTCACAGCTAATGGTCAACGCTCCAGTACAGTTTTCAGCTTGAATATGCCTTTTTAACATCAAAACTACCGTTACGTGATTAAATCTGCTCAGCAACATGTTAGAGGTTGCTAAAATGCAGAAATGAAAAATTAACATTTTATTGCAGAGATTGTCTCTGTTCCAATGAATCAGCGGTATCAACTGGTACCGCTGGGTTGATGCATATATTAATATTCTCTTATTATCACGGCAAACGGGTAATTCTGTCGGTTTTTTTTTTGTGATGCCGGATCAGCTAACGGTAATGGCCCGATTTATACTAGAGACGGATCATCCGTCTAGACGGATCATCCGTCATACGGATAATCCGTCCAAGTATAAATCCGAAGACGAATTTTGACGAATAATCTGTCTGTTTACGAGTTTCACGACGGGTGTCTCGGTGTTGAGCCGAGTGGAAGCCTGGCGAGAGCTTAAATATGGCGGCTCTTGTAGCCTTGTTGATTTGCTTTCTCCTTCTTTTTTGTGATTGCTTTCGAGGGCACGATTACTTTACCGGACGCCATCTTGAAATAGGCATGCCAGGAAACCTTGCAAAACTATAGAAACCAGTCTCTCTCATATGGAAACTTCGTCAAAAACCGTCTTCGTTTTCCGTCTAGATAAAAATTTAGAGACGGATGATCCGTCTAAGACGAGCTATCCGTCTGTTAGCACGTCTTGAAGACGTGCTGACAGACGGATCAGCCTGAGACGAATTTTGCTCCATAATTCGTCTTAGTACCGAATTTATATTTAGACGAGTTATCCGTCTGAGACAGATGATTCGTCTCTGACGGATAACTCGTCTCTAGTATAAATTCGGCCAATGTCTCGGTGGCTCACTGAAATAGAATCTTGGAGCTCGGAGTCTTGAAGTTCGTTTCCTCATAGGGACTCAAACTTTTTCCTAATCCCACAATAGTGGGACAAAGCATTGTTCAGCCGAAGGTCTTGAAAGAAATTAACTTCTGGGTTTAAATGGATCTGCCATACCTTTTACTGGACCATATATATCTAATTTCGCACTGCATGGTTTGTAAACAAAACATCTACATATATCCGTGGTAACTCACGAGGGTTTTGTCAAATAAATTTTTTATAGGTCTCATGGACACTTTTATATCATCCCATGTTCAGATTCCTTCGTAAGTAAACGATTTTAAGTCGGATGAGTAATCACGAGAGTTTAGTGGAGGACCAAACTGTTCTTTATGTAAGTAAAAATCAGCATCTATGAGCCTCACTTGACACCGGTAAAAAAGTATCTAAATCGAAAGAACAACCATTTTCTTCTAAAGAAGGTTGTTGACCTTTGTAAGCGGCAGTCAACAACATATTCATATGCACAACTTATCTTCATTGCTTTTAAACGGTGACGTCGACCTAACAGGGAACAGTAGTTTTCAGTCTATAGTGTACTGGTAAAATTAAAAAATATGATCTGACTGTAGTCGGCCCATGCATCCTCATACGTCATATAGACATGTAGTGCAGCCTACATCATACTGAGAAAAAGGTGTGTTACACAAATGAAGCGCTACTCTAAATCACTGAATCCTAAGTTATAGCGTGACGCAATTCTATTGTGATAGTCCGTCGACGGTTCATGGTCATAAATAGCTACCGCTGTTTTGAAACCGATGATTGAATGCGCAATTATCTCACGCACTTTGAATAATCTTAGAGTCTTCATTTTTAGTGACATCAACCGCCCCGATTGTTTTTGAATTACAAAGACGTTTTTCAGGAACTTTTGTTCGCTCCGAACCCTTTGGGAGGTGCAATCGGTACTTTTGTTTACACTGATTTCGTAAAAGATCTCTTAATATTCGACTGAAGAGGTTTCGGTATTTTCATGCAAGCGAAAACTTCTGTCCAAACAACTGCATTAGACTTGTTTGTTAAGCTTTAATTGAATGTTTGTTTGCGAATCCCTTCTTTTGAAGTTCAAATAAGTTGAATACGTCATTCAAATACTCATCAATACGTCATTAACGCTATAGTTGTTTTTAGTTGAAAACATTGTTTAAAAAAATCTTTAAGTACGTGTAGTAGTTTAGACTCAGTTGTTTATGGTCAGATGTTCAGGAGTGAATACTGAAAGAGTGAAGGAACAAATACGGAAAAAATCGCTTTCGTGAATGGGTTTGTGAGCATATCTTTGCCTTTATTAGTTTTCATTAGTTTCTCTAAATCCCAGCGGCTTAAATTCGCCTCACTGTACAAAATGTATCAACCTACTAATACTTTAGGAGTTTCATACTATAAAAGAAGATGCGTTTTAGGCGGATCCTAATCTTCTTTTGACACACAAATCTAAGCATTCTGTCCCATTTCTGGGATAAACAATCATTATTACGAGATAAACGTCGGAAAAGAGCGCTACAGAAACTGAACCTGTACGTATCACTTACTCAGAATTGCGTGGGTGAAACCTCTCTACTTGATGAAAAAACATCTTCTTTGAGGATGATAACGATTCATATATGTTTTCTGATTGAAAGGGGAAGGTTTGGCCCGTTCGACTTCACGTAAGACACTGGATGTCGCCACTTTGTAGTCCTGGTTGAAATTTGTCTTATTCTATGTGAAACGAGCTTAACCTGCCCTAGTTTTATGTATTTGAAGTGCTTAGCGTCGTTAACTAAGTGATTTTGAGCCGGTTGTGGCCGATTCCATCATGTTGTGTAACGTCAGCAAGAAGTGAAAAAATTACTTTTCACACAAGGGACAGAAAGATGAATTCTCTGCACTGTCCGCTAAACATGTCTTATAATTCTTGCTTTGAGATTTTGTGGTTTGAATCAAACAGCATCCTCAATTGATTTTTCACTCTCCTCTCATCACCTTATTTCTGAAAATGTCTTTATTTATCATATTTTGGTCTCTATGAAGCAAAAGGTTGAATAATAGTCCGTGCTATTCTTACACCAGGCTCTCAATGAGGCGATTGCTTGTACGACTGATGGTTGAAATTTTTCAGTTTTTACGCCTTAAATTATTAACCACATGGAGACTCTTTGTGTTACACGATTACTTCGTGTTATGTGAGAAATTATTTATGCCCATTATTAATGCCCCTTCGTTTAATCCTTTACATCCTAACATTACTGTCCACATTCTCCATGCTCTTCTCTAGAACGTCTCCTTTAGCATTGACAAGGAGAATAACAATCAAGAGCTTCCTTACTTGACGATCAATGATTTTAATGAATGATTCAGCAGAATTCCTTCCTGTAAGGAGGAATCATATGCAAGTCACTCTCAGGGTCTAAGGCATTTAACTACTAAAACAAGTTAATGTCAAGAAAAATCTTTAAGTCCTTATAAGGTTAAATTTCATTTAGTGCAATTCGGAGACAGTTAAAAATTAATTAGTTTATTTTGACCTTTATGTGCTGTTAGACTGATATTAGATGTCATTATTAACATAGAGTTTTCATTCTGGTTTAATCTGAAAAGGATGGCTTGGAATCTTGTTGCTACATCTTTAAATTAGGTTTTCCTCCATCCATAAAACATTGTTATTTCACGGAAATTTTTTTGTTTTTAAATGATGCGAGACTTATTTGGCATATTGGAACGCGAATTCTGTAGGTTTGTTAAAACATAGATCAATCTGTATTTACCAGCTTTTGTGTGCGTGTTTTGATATGAGCTATATTTTGACAGTTGCTATAGACACTCGCCTTTTAAGATTTCACCTTGGGAAAAAATATTCAATTGATTCAAGCTGTTTGACAAAATTGGTCCACATCCTCTCTCTTCTCGAGAAAAATCTTCCCACTCTTATGCCCGTTGCTGTTGGGAGCTCGAAGACTTGTCTCAATGTGATAAGTCCACCAACTCCATTTTACCCAAAGGCTCCGCGACACATCAGACGGCACCAAACTTTTGAAACCCACTAAATTTATTTCTTGGGGAAGTCTTCTTTTCCAAATCGAATTAATTTCTGTCTTTATTTTTACAAATTTCAGAAAAATTGATGGCGGAACACAGTACTAGAAATCAAGGTAAAACGAACAGTGTGGTTCACTTTTGTTAATAGTTTGTTGAGGATGATATTCGGGGCAATTTCACAATAAACCGGGAGAAAATAGGACGTTTTCACTACGTAAAGTCAAATTACGTACGTATAATAATTGTGAACTAAACTGTCTTTTAAAAATACAGAATCTTGAGCTGAAAGGATCCCAACAACTTTCACACTTGGCACTTATGTGAACATACTCTAATAAGCATAAATTTGTTTCACCAAAGAAAAAGGGAGGAGAAATCTTTCCCAGTTTTTAGAATTTAAATAATTTTTTTCTTTTCAATTATTTATTCTTCGATCGGAAACATAAGCAAAGAGCATGGTGGCAGTTTGGTCATTTATTTTAGTGAACCTGCTGTGCTCATGATTACCTAACACAAGCAGCTGATTATATGTAACAAATTATAGAAAGGATTTCTAAATCAATTAGAACACGAAGTCTTCGATTTTTATGTAATTTAGAATAATTAAATAAATTTTATCCCTCGGCACATCCAGCAAAAGAAATCCTAAATTAATTTTTGCCTAATAACTTTTGTGGGTTTGACATCCCTGTTGTCAATTATTTGGTTGTAATCAGCATATCGAGATTAAAAGAAAATTACAAAAATCCCCCCAAAAAATTGCAGAAAGGGTTCAAAGCCCCCTATAAAACTATTTTTCCTTTTAGAAGATGTTTTGTATAATAATGTAAATTGCTCTTGTGGAGTGCGTCAGTGAAAAAATGTTGTGTAACTTATTCTTATTTGTATTCAAAATCATAATTCAAATCATTCGTTTTCTTTTCATAGAGTTAGGTTTCAGTAAGGTTAAAAATTACATCAGTAAAGACGAAAAATAAACTCGTTAAATCCACTGCTACTTTTCTCTAGTTTTGTATTAACGTTTTGTGTTTTGTAACTTTATGATTTGTTGTCAACCGTACTTGACATCCCGTAACTTTTAAACGAAGTCACCGCCAGGTAAAATTGTTGAATAACGCGAGTTAAAAACATAGCTGGAGGCTTCCTTTACGGAGACAAAATGCTGAATGCAATTAAATAATAAAAAGGGAACACTGAACTCCGGTGGTTTTGAGTTGCAGGCTCATGTAACTAAAATTACGAGTGTTCTAATGACACAGAAGCGCTGTCCCGGTGACTTCCCGCCTCGATTAAAATATTTAATCTTGCCCGGGATGATAAATAATAGTATACCTGTTCTCTGGTTTTAGATACAATGTTTCATGCAGCGGATTATCATCAAACAGACGCTGAAACAATTGCCTGGATTGTGACGTTAGCTGTTGTGGGTGCCTTAGCAATTGTCATAAACCTCTTGACACTGTACACGTTTCTCTCAGCTACAGCGCTCAGATCTCGTAAGCATGTAATGATCATGAACCTCGCTGCGGCTGACGCTTTGTTCGGAGTCACTGGAATACCAGTTTACCTAGTTTATCTAATTCGACCACAGTTGACTTTGTTTTACGTATGGGTGATGGCGAGCAGGTTCTGCAAAGTAGCTTCACTTTTTACTGTCGGTGTCATCGCAGTGGAAAGGATGCATGCCATTGTATGTCCTCTGCGGCACAAAACTCTCTCAAGGCTGGTCTTCAACATCACCATCGCATCAATTTGGATTTGTGCATCTGCATTAACAGTGAGCGGGTTGGTTGTGCTTTTTCGTAACGTTGACATTATAACCTTTCTTTCACTTGCCTCTGTATTTACTCCCGTTTTGACTATTACTGTGGTGTTAGTCATTGGTTCGTGTTACATCTTCATTTGGGTCTCCTACAAGCGTCGAAGATTTCATGCGATCAATCCTTCAACCATTCGGGAACGTTCGTTGGCTCTCACGCTACTACTGGTCAGTGGTGCCTTCCTAGTCACGTGGTGTCCTCCCTTACTATATCTATCAGTTATTCCGAATTGCATAGACTGCATCCAGCCTAATATACAAATCTTAGACTGGTTTGTATTGGTATTTGGAATTCAGTGTCTGGTTAACCCTGCCATTTATTGCTATCGACTGCCTCTGTTTAAAGTCAGTTTGAAAGCGGTTATCAAAAGAGTGTTTGTGAAGTGTTTCCATCCGTGTTGCAATACGGCACCCAAAAACTCCTCAATTCGTCCCGGTGACCAAAAGGTTCAGGAACTACAAAAACAGCCAAAGGTTGAGTGTAATTGATATGAAAGTGACTTTGGAAGGCTCTATCGCTGTGGAAATAGAGGCTAGAAGTCTTACATAGACATTTTTGTGATAACCCTCATTTTCCATTTATAAGGGGACCCTCTGGTTGAAATCCATCAAAAGAAGAGATCACTAGTGATTTGATCATAGCATCGCAACTGTTCTTATTAAACTGTTAAAATTTAACAGAAAGCAAGTGGACGGCTCTTTGTATCGGCCAATGTGAAAACTTCGCCGTATTTGTTTAATCCTGATTAATTATTAACACAACAAAGAATCAACCATTTTTCAAGCTATCTTCAGCCCTCGTAAACTAAATGTACAAAATACATCCAATTGAACTGGTTTCTAGCATCATGCATCTATATAAGATGGATTATAAGCTACTTTAGAGGGAAATCGGTTTCGACTCTTGATTTCACCATGGTACTAAGAGCCTTTCGAGAAAAGTTAAACTTGTCGAAACTCAGTTGTTTTGTAAGAAAAATGGAATTTCGCTCAATTTTTGCAAGGTATGTCAAATTAAAAACATTTACAACAAATTTGGTAATGACTGCACAAAAACAACTTGAGCAATTTAACCTTAATAGTTATTAAGAAGGATTTCAAATAAATAATGTTGAAGTAAACATTTTTTTTTACAAAGATGTCTTAGACCGTCTTTTAAAAGTGTTAGATCGTAACTGCCTGTCAGCAGAAGTTCATCGCATCAAGATTAGGTACCGGGGCAAGATGTTATCCTAGTGGAGCGAAGAAAGATGTTACCGATCATTTCACTAAAGTGGACAAACACAAAAAAATTAACGGGTCCTCCTCTCTCCCCTGAGAAATCGAATCTCTATTTCAGGTCCGCACTCCGATGAACAGGGAATCATTGTTTTATGGTGAGCTCTTGTAGGCTAACATTCGGCCAATATTAGGTTGATATGCAACACGTGCAATATATATATTGTCCCTACTTGAGCCTCGGGAACTGGAAAAAAAATCTCGATTCATTGTATATGAGCTTTTTTTTCAAGGTAGACAATATCTAAACCGTATTTAGAAATTTCGTATGTTCTTAATCTGAAGACCTTTGTTAAAAAGATAATGTCAACAACTCATTTTAATTTATCTATCGGTAGAAGTGTTGATTCAGGTGGCAATCGGAAGCATTTCGATGAAATATTATCATGGACTTTTATCTCATTTGGCTGTTTTCTATTATTGCTATTGACATGGGAGGGAGCTTCGTTTTCAATTCAAAACAAGCTGAGTTCTTTTTTTATTTCACATAATACTTTGCAACCGGCTATGGAAGTTTCAAAGTAAAATGCTCTAATTGTGAACCAAAGAATGTCTACTGTTTGCTAGTGCACCTCGCAATTTTTGTTGTCTTCAAGTCATGATTTGATTCAGGTCTACACACGATACTGAAACCGACAGTGTAAACTTATAAAACGGCTACGTGATAACGTAGAATCTTCGACATAAAGGGAAGTTTATTTAACCAAAGTTTAGGAGTTGTTTAACAAAACCGCGTCCTAAACCATCCTTATTTTAGCAAGACCTTTAATTTGAACATTTAAGTTTGTGAACAGTGTCAAGAGGGACGAAGACTAAAAGACTGGGAACGAAATTACTTTATTATATCGACCATCTTATGAAGAAAACCTGAGGCCCACTGCTTGCGTAAAATCGTGGTTTGGAACGCTCTTTAGAACTTTCATGAACCGCCCTGATCGTTTCATAATTACACTGAGACGTTGAAAAGAATCCTTTGTTTGCTTGTAGCCTTCTGGGACGCTTAGTCATTAATGTTGTTTGGAAACTCATGTAAATTTTTCGCAAAATTCAATCAATAGCCTTTGTTCGAAAAAATACAAGCAAAAGTTTTAAAGCGGAATTTAGCTGCTGGGCGAAAGATATTTACTTGTGCCTTAGCTTTCAGTTCAATGAGGATAATTTTTTTCAACAGTTTCAGTCTTACTGCAAAGGTCAATTAATATTCATCTGACATTACAGTCATATTGTCACTCGTAAACAACATTTTAGAGGCAATTACAGCAGAACTCGGCTTTCAGTTTGACGCAGCCGGAGATGGAATGAAAAAAAAGGCATAAATCATTAGAACTTGGGTCGTGGTGAGTATGTCTTCGCTTCATTTGAAGTAGAGCTCGCGCACCTTTGCAGTCCTTTGATCGCAGTGATCGCATAGCGCAATTTGTCGACCGCGATTGGTTTTGAGCCCATACTCATAACAATGGTCATTCTGTATTATTCTCGAAGCCAAAAACAAGTTTATTTAATACGTTGGTTTATATGAAAGTTGATTATTGATCCTCGCAGGAAATTTTCTTTTCTTCTGAAGCAAAGGTCTGATTAGTTTTATCATATATCAAATTAAATATCGTCACCCACTGGATTGCATCGTTTGTTTCTTGATGATTACTGAGTCTTGAGGTTTTTCGACAATACTAGTGATGACTTTTCTTCATTTGTACAGTTCTGCCTTGTATAATCGAGTTGAAGGGAGCCTCTCTCTTTAGCATCCAAGTTTTAACGTTCCACTTCTCAGAATTCAGGAAGCTGTTAAGGCTTTTATTTCATTTTGGAGGAAACAATTCAAAACTTGTGACAAGTTCTTTTCGAGAAATCTGGTGATTTGCTTGACGACATTTTTTGTCATATATTTCGTCATGTGCAAATATAAGTCAAATTCAATTCAGTTTAGCATATCTCTTTTCTGATACTAACAGTATGATTTTATCATCTTTACAGTAAAATTTGAATTAGCATAAATGGATTCACACGAAGCAGAGGAGAATCTTGATTTGGAATCGTCATCGTGGAAGGTTTGGTGTTCAATTTATGGAATATTAAGTTTCTTCATCATCGTCGTCAACACTTTGGCGCTGTTCACTTTCATAAAGACTCCATCGCTCAAGTGTCGAAAACACATCATGGTCATCAATCTTGTTGTCGCTGATCTCAGTTATGGAGCCTTGGGATTACCTACATTTATTTACTACGCATTCAAGCCAACATTAATCTCCTTTAACGTCTCAACAGTTCTTACCTCTTTTTCAAAATTGGTTTGTCTTTTCAGCGTTACTGCGATTGCCATGGATCGAATGTATTCCGTTGTTTGGCCAATACATCATAAAGTTATCAGCATTAATGTTTACAAATGTGCCGTCATGGCTGTTTGGATTGTTTCTGCTGGAGTGGCCACATTTGAGATGTATAATCGGGGTACATTTAGCAAAAAGCCCAAAACTTTTATCCCTGTGTTATTAATCGCATTACTGGTAGCAGGTATAGTAACTATTGGTTGCTATGTGTGTATTTGGTTTAAAGCTAGACGCAGAAGGAAGAGAACAACCACCAAACAGGATAGAAACTTGGTTTTTACTCTGTTACTAGTAACCGGAGTGTTTATGGTCACTTGGGGAATTCCTATCAGTTTTCTGTCAGTCTCCAGAATGTGCAAAAAATGTTATCAATTTTCTGCTGTGGCTTTTAAATGCATGCAGCTGCTTTTTGCATTACAATCTTTGATCAACCCAATTATTTATTGCTTTCGACTGCCAACGTTCAAAATAAGTTTAAAAATGAGATTACAAGAGTTGAAAAGTTCAGGCCGAGGCAATGCGCCAAGAAGATCAAGTAAGGTGACTGCTAAACCTGAATTGTGGAGGACCTCGGTAATTAAAGAAACGCCGAAACAGCCAGTAAGAACTGAGGGGGAGGCGGCACAACTAACACGCACTGAGCCTAAGAGAGATCGAAATTTGTAATATTGCAATCCCCCCATTAAGCCGAGGTGCTTTGGGAAAAACAATGAAAAACACGTTTACATGTAGTAACTTTTCTTTTTTTTTTTGTTTGTTTGTTTGCTCTTAAAGCTTTTGCTAGTTATAGTGGCTGAGAGAGGAGGCCGTTATTACTGACAGCGGGTTCAAGTGCGAAACTGAACTAGATAATCACCCTCTGAAGGCGTAAATAGATATAGATACGAAAAGTAAAACCTGTATCTATCAAGTCGGTGCAGACATTAATTGTGAGTCCTTTTGCGTCCGAAATTTTCAGAAATAATGCTTAAAGTTACAACTTCTTGGCAAGATGGGCATGAGGTCTTTCTTGTGAAGGAGGAAATCGAAAAAGATGTCAGCTGTTTTGAAACTGGAGTCTTTTTCACACCGCTATTTTGTATCATATGATGTAATACCGTTTTTCTCATTTATCTGCATGATCCGGCTTTGGGACTACCAGAAACCAAGAAGCTCTTGTTTGATTAGGACAATGGCATCCGTATTTCGTCATTGCATCCAAAATAGCGCTTACTGGGAAATGTAACATCAACATTTCGTGTATTTGTTTCTAGCTTAATTACATTTTTTTCTTGTTTCCCAATTTTTCTTGTGATTCTTCATAACACAAGACATTATCATGGGTATTGCTAGAACGGATTTGAAAAGCGCGTGCTAACTCAAAGCTAGTGCTCAGATCCTTTTTCCGTTTTGTCGTCCGCTATGTTAATGTTTTTAGACCGAGAGTCTGTTACGAAAAAAATCACACTTCCCACGCGCTCCTAAATTTACGAGCGTCACGTTCTGATTTAATGCCTCACGTACTATTTTTTTTTGTGTGTGTTAGTCACGCGTCTCTCGCGTTTCTGAAAAAAGACGTTTACCAATAAAAAAAAGTTGGTTTTAATCCACGAATCTCTTACAAACGCACGATACAAAAAACATGGTGGTTGGAATATAAACGCGGCTTGACACAAACTAGTATGAACACGAACTCATGGAGCACTGAATATTTGACATGAAGAAATTATGCAGTTCTTGGCACGGAGTGTCCGTAAGGGTAAATTATACAACGGCGCGATGCACAATATTTGCTACCCTAATCTAAGATCTCTTTGGATCCATGAAGATGTGTTTGTTGAAAATGAATCTTTTTTTTCAAATATCCGAATGAATCCATGTCGGATTAAAAATAGTCAGAACTGAACCATTTTACATGTCGGAAAGTGACTGCCTTTTTCTGCTGCACAATTTGCAATCTTTATTGTAGTGTTATGGTTTGCAAATTATCGTTTTCTTTGAGAAAATGTCGCTCGCGCAGTATGCGATCGACACTCGGTTATAGAAACTGCTGTTTACAAAAATTAAAATGCCGTTAAATCACTTATACCGTTTCCTAGAACTTTGATTGCTGAGCACTCAAACATTTCTCGTTATAATAACAGGGATGAAGTCTTCACCAAGTGATCTAAAATTAGAGATTAAATGAGCATAGTTCTTAATTGCTGTTGTGGGCCACCCTGATTGTTTTCAACGTATTTAAATCACAAAGACGTTGACGCAAAAGTTTTTTTTTGTCCCAAACCAACTGGGAGGGGACTTTTAGTTCATTATTTTTGTTGGAAATTCATAACAGTTTTCTCACGCTCCTGCGAGAAAACGTTTTTCTTTTTCTCCCCGAAATTTTTTTTAAAAGAGCATTTATGTCTGAAATCGAACATTGTAGCGGAAGTTGATATTTAGGATTTTGGTTTATGGGTCATTAGCGAATTGTTTTGTGTTTCCTTTTAGTAGAGGAAAATTA